TGTGAGTGAGTGAGAGTGTGTGTGTGTGTGTGTGTGTGTGTGTGTGTGTGTGTGTGTGAGTGTGTGTATTGTGTATTTGTGATCCAGCAGCACTTGAGTTCAGACTCCAGGGAAGCATCTCAAGGTCGAGGCCCGTCAGATGCCAGATCTCCGCGGGTGAGCTCAAATTAGGGCACTACCTAAACAAATCAGGAGGTTTTTCTAACATGATAAGCTATTCTTTCACATGTATGCAGAGTTTCAAAGGTGAACTATTGATCGTGATGAGTAAACCAAGCCAACTTCATCACACCCACTAATCTAATCAGAGGACTGACAGAGAACACAGTTAACTCCAAAATAAACGCAGTGCAAACACAGCTTTCATACTTCAGCCGCTGATAGAGACACACAAGCGCCGGGTGACTCGTCTCGGTCTTTAGATGAGCTTCGAATGAATCGATTCGATCGAACGCGCAGCCTGCGAGTCTTATCAGCCTCATGAATATTAATGACGCGACGACCGACTGACCCACCCGATTGGCTGGTAAGATACGCGTTGTTATGAATATTAATGATCTATAAAAGACCTATTAAAACCTTCATATGAATGAGCTGAAACCAATAGCCACAGATCGACTGGTCAGTTTCCAGCAGGACACGCGGAGACGGTGAGAGAGTTTAATGTTCAGACACAGGAAGCAGTAAAAGTCGGACAGGAAGTGGAGAGAATGACACGTGGCGACCGTGACAGTCTGTGAGCACGACGCATTGGTTTTAAATCAACAATTGTATACAGAACATACGATGTAGAACACAAAAAAGCCAGGAGGTAAAATCCAAGGGTTCATGTAGCCGAACATAGCCTAACACAAGGCCAAACAAACAAAAAATCATTCCAACAACAATAAAAAGTTTAAAAAAAACAACTCCAATCAAATTCCCATCATTTTAAAGAATGAAGGAATGCATGCATACATACTTACATTCATATATATATAATTATACATAAACCAAACAAAAAGTAAATAGACATGAAGAAATCAGATACAAAAATCACTTACATAAAATACCTGTTCTCTTAAAGTAGCCTATAAATAAGTAAACAAATAAATATACCAAACAAGCAAACTAAATTAAACTAAATTAAAAAGAAAAAAGAGATGAAGATGTGTGTGTGTAGTGTGTGAGTGTGTGAGATCACTGACCTCAGAGCTGAGAGTCAGCAGAAACACACAATACAGCTCGGCCTGCTGTTGTTCCTGCTCTTCACACACATATCCGTTACAGATGTGAGACATCGTGACCCGCCGCTGTGAGGAAGCTCTATTGTTCACACAAGAGTCTGATGAACAGCATCAGATGAGCGGGAAATCACAGCAGCAGAGGCCCAGAACAATGCCTCTGCTCTTACTGAGACATTCATGACCAGCGCTCTATTGTTTCACAACCTTTAAACTCCATTTACGAGCAATTAAACCATAGGTCTGATAAGAAATTAGAGAGCTAGCTAGATCTTCTTTTATTGATTCTTCTTATTTATGAAAGATAACTCTATAGAGTTCATATAGAAACTAATGGGATTATAGTGAATGGGCTCTGAATTATGACTTTGGCGACACCACGTGGTGAAAGGATGCGCTGCACATCCAAAATTAAATTACGTATATTATTAAATGAAAATAATTTATTAAATGACTGATTTTTCCATTTAAAAGTTCAGGTAGTGTAAAAACATAAATATAATATAAAAAGCAGTTTTACAGCCTCATCCATAAGATAATCTCTGTAGTTTCTACCAATAACTTTATATATATATATATATATATATTATTATTATTTTTAATTATTATTATTATTATTTTTTTAATTATCCAGAAATCAATGTCCAAAGATTCATATACAGTGGCTAAATCAATTAAATTAATTTGAAACCTTTTATTTTTCCTTAAAAGCTTCTGTTTGTTTGTTATGTACATTTTGTTTGTTATAATATTGCATTAACTACGACAAAAATCTAAAATGATTAGTCTGTGATACATTTTTTTACATCTCAAAAACCAGCAATTTTTACAGAGCTGTGTAGACTTTTTATAGCCATTGTACAACACTAAAAAGTCAAAATCATTCTTGATAAGAGGGTTCTTTGATGGTGTGAATGAAACAATCAAACTAAACATAAAACTTTTTTTTGTTTTATAACAAAACACACGTCCACGAGGAACAGACACGTTAAGATTTACACAGCTGATCTTTTATAAAGCACTTTACATAGTCAAGACACAAGAAAAGACCTGAGGACATCTGACACGAAACTGTGCAAAGTGTTCTGATTTCAGCAAAACAGATGCAATACAAAATAGTTTTTCGTCACATCGAATGTAATATTGCAATATTTTCAAAGCATCTGTTGGTGCATAATATTCCCAGATCCTGAGATTCAAACGCAGCATAAGAAAATCCAGGAACGTGAATGAGATGTAAACCGTTCAGCCTGACAGAGAAACGCTCACCAAGCATATTAAGCACTCTAGTGACATTTATCTATGTACTATATGACATTTATTGTGTATGGTAATGTGTAACCAGTGGGAATGGTTAGGCTGGTCAACTTCAGTAGCAGGTAGATGTCAAAACAACACCATTCTGCTGCAAAAAAAGTGTGTTCTGAAACCAATTGCAAGCAGCATATATAAAATCACAAATAATTCATTATATTACAGTAGATCTTTGACCAGTGCATGTTTTACTCTTAAATCACCTACTTTTTGAATACCGTGTGCATGCGACTCACTAAGAAATACTTCTTTTGGCTGGCGTTATAATAGTTACTGCATATATCTGGTTCTTTAAAACACGTTATTTACTGGTTTCATCATGTTTACATGAAAGAATCAACCGAGCTGCAATGCAGTGCTTCAGTGTGATTGTGATGCTTTTCTGACACAGTCTTTGAAGGTTTAGTGTCAGAGAAAACATCACAGGAGTGACTGCTGCTCTCTTCCACTCTTCAGTTCTCGTCTTTCTGGTTTTCTAGCTTCTAGCTGAAGCCGCAGCATGCGGAAGGCTCGTTCTCCGGCTGCATCACGTCATGAAGGTGAAATCTGGGCTCGACGGGCAGCTGGACTGAACATCTCACCAGCTCCCTGTGCATTACATCACAAGCTCTGTGTGGAAACTCTAACATCTTTACAAGTTTGCGAGCATGCTGGAAGAAACTCACTTTGCCACCGTCATAAAGGCCTCGTCCACGTTGAGTCCGGTTTTGGCACTGGTCTCCAGGAAAATGACTCCATACTCCTGCCAAAACCACGATTGAAGGGGTTTAATGTGAATAAAGCTCTTACTATTTGGGTTCCCAAACCAATATTTGACCAAAAAATATACATTTTTTAATTAGTTATCAATTATTACTTTTAATTTGTGAACTGGTTCTAAAAGAAAAATTAAAGCTGTACTAGCTTATAATATACATACAGTAATAATATATATATATACACACACCACACAATTGGTCAAAAGTTTGGAATAATTACGATTTTGTAATGTTTTTTTGAAAAGTCTCTTCTGCTCAGCAAGGCTGCATTTCTTTGATCAGAAATACAGTAAAAATTGTGAAATATTATTACGATGTCAAACAGCTGTTTTCTATGTGAATATCTGTTAAACTGTAATGTATTTCTGTGATCAAAGCTGTATTTTAAGCATCATTACTCCAGTCTTCAGTGTCACATGATCTTCAGAAATCATTCTAATATGCTGATTTATTATCAATGTTGAAAACAGTATTATTTTTGTGGAAACCGTGATGCATTTTATTTTTCAGCATTCACAGATGAATAGAAATCTATTTGAAATAGAAATATTTTGTAACATTTTAAATGTCTTTACTGTCACTTTTTGATCAATTGAATGCGTCCTTGATGAATACATTTCTTAATAATAATTAATAATTTATTTATTTTTAATGGTAGTGTATCACGGTTTCCACAAAAATATTGTGCAGCACGACTGTTTTCAACATTGATAATAATCAGAAATGTGTCTTGAGCAGCAAATCAGCATATTAGAATGATTTCTGAAGGATTAATAGAGAGATTTAAGGCTTTGCATGACTTTTTGAGATCATACTTTCCCATTTTTTCGACATAACTGTCTGTGATCGGATCTGAAACACTGCAATAGAACAGATGGCCCATGATGACTGACTGAGACTCACTCTGGCGAGTTTCTCTCCCTCCTCTCGTCTGATCGCTCGAGCGCTGGTCATGTCTGACTGTAGAGACGACACGCACAGTTACAGTTACACTGCGTGCTTGAGTTATGGCTTATATAACACCAGATCCAAGCTCAAAGTCTTCTTACCTTGTTGCCAAGCAACATGATGACCACATCATCCTGAGCATATTCATGAATCTCAGTAAGCCACGCCTACAACAAAACATCCAGCCAATCAGAAGCCTCTAACATTCTCTCTCTAGAGATCCAAAAATCCAAATAAACTAAAGTAGAATAATGTTAGATATTTGTTATGATAATCAGTTAAATTATGTTAACATATTATAGTTAACCAAAACTAAAACCATGTAAAAAAAAAACTTTGTTACTTGAAATAAAGTAAACTTTCACTGAAATAAAATAATTTTAACTAGTTTCAGTAATGTTTTACTAGGTTAACTTGGACTAAAATAACAAACTTTCACTGAAATAAAATTTATATAGACATATTTAAAAAAAAAAAAAATGTAATTAAAAATTTAATTATTACAAATATTAAAACTATTGCATTGATTTACATTGATTAAAATTTAAATTGATAAAAAATCGATTTCAAATCAATGCTGTTCATTTGAACTTTTATTCATCAAAGAACCATTCCTCAAAGAAACATCAAGATATGATAATTCATGATAATACACATAAATTCAGCTTTGCCATTACAAGAATAAATTATATTTTAAAATATAGTAAAATAGAAAGCAGTTATTTGAAATTGTAATAATATTTCACAATATTACTACATTTCTGATCAAATAAATGCAGCCTTGACGAGTCTTCAAAAGATAAAAAATTTTTTACAGATCCCAACCATTCGATTGTAGTTTATACAACCACTAATGTGACATAAAAGACCGTTTTCTAAACTTCAGTGAAGTTTGATTAGGTTTTAAGCACACTCTAATGATGTCTTGTTGTCAACACATTATTATTATTAAATATCAAGCATTCGGCATCATTTCACTTCTGCTAAAAACAAACAGGAGTGCCACGTCAGATGCAACCTATGAAACCCATTGCCATGTTACTCCTTCCTCTCAACATGATAACAGCATTTTTCTCTCCCATCTCAGCAGGTAATTTCCTCTCCTTACAGCCAGTGTGCCTAATTTGACAAACACCAATAATGGCTCTCAACGGAGAATGAATGATGCAGTCGACTGGAATCTCACCAGAGTCTTGCATCCTGCCATCTCAGCTCATTTAGCCTTATTTCCAGTCATTTACAACAAACCAATTATTCACTTGGATGTGATCGTCTCATCAGCCTGCTCGATTAGATGAGGATGGGAACAAGACCGCAGGCAGCTATTGAAAATGAATCAGCTCATTATTCTTTAGGAAGTTGGCTAATTAGTTGGGACATAACACGTTCTGTAAATGGAGAAGCATTAAATGCTTGTGACACCCAAGGCACCCATGAAACGGTAAGCAATGATCTAATGAAAAGATGGAATCCTGAAAAGGATCAGCCTTGGTTCACAACTAAATTGCACTTTCAGGGATGAAATTATACATGATTTAAATATATATATATTGGATAAAGGAATGTAAAGATATAATGATCTGAAAACCAAAAAAACACTTGAATGTTATATGAGATATAAACTCCACAACTACTGTACAATCAAGATTTCTAGGAAAGTTCTTGGAAACAACAACTCGAAAAGACTTAAACAACAAAAAGACTCATACAAACCTTACCGTACACTGCCATTCAAAAGTTTGGGGTTGGTAGATGTTTTTGAAAGAAGTCCCTTATGCTTACCACAGCATAATTTTTTTGATCAAAAACACAGTGAAAACAGTAACATTGTGAAATATAGGCCTAATTATTATATATCGGTCATTCTACACTCTAAAAAATGCTGGGTTAAATACAACCCAGTGCTGGGTAAAATAGGGACAAACCCAGCAATTGGGTTGTTTTGACCCAGCATTTTTTAGAGTGTAATATACAGATGTTGTGTGGCTTAATATTTTGTGAAAACCATTTTTTCAGGATTCTTTGATAAATCAAAAGTTTAAAAGAACAGCATTCATTTGAAATATCTCATATCTTTTAAATGTGAGTCTTTACTGTCACTTTTGATTAATTTCATCCTTGCTACATTAACGTATTAATTTCTTTCAAAAGAAAACCCCTTTTTAAACTTTTAAATAATACTGTCTATGTATTTATTTATTTATTTTTAAAGATAATGCGTAATTTTACTGAGATATTGTTTAAAACGTTTTTAGAGGTAATAAACAAGTTACAGAAAAGGTCAAATGTCATTGTGATTTTTTTATCATGCCACGTTTTTACCAGTGCATTTGGTACAGTAACTTCATATCATTTAATGAAATACACTCACCAAAACGGTTGTGACGTGGTCACTGTATTTTTACAGTAAAGTTCCACCAGACCTGCGGTTCAATGTTTTCATATACAGTATTTAGCTACATAATGCTATTAATGTTTCCTCTCTGGCTTCCATACCTGAGAGCTAATGAACATCCAGCTATTTTAGCAGTGAAATAAAGTCTGTCTACAGACATGTTCAAGTAAAATAAACTCATGCATATTACTTGCTTTAATTGTTCACCCCCACCTGGACACTGAAGGAATCGCGTCTTTATAAATGAAGACTGATGTGTGCCAAGAAAACATCTTGGTTGAATTTAAAGTATTTTATAAGTATAGCATATAAACTTTTAAAATAAAAGTTGCCTTATTAGTTGTAATTAAAAGCCACTTGTGTATGACTAAAATTTTTGTTTACTAGTTTCATAGCCGTTTTGTGTCCAAGTTAGGTGCAGTTTAACCAATTAAACAATTAATAAAGGAAATTTATTTCAATATTTTTCTCTTGTTAATCTTACAGCACATCATTTTATCCAGGCTTCAAATTAATTAAAAACTTAAATGAAAAACGGTAAGCAGAGTAACGCACAAAAAAACACTATATTAACAACTTCATAAACACACTATCAGACACTAGTGCTACAGCTGAAGCGTGCCTCTAATCAAGTTTTCTACTACTGTAAGTTATTAACAAAAAATAATCCCCATCCTCTTTTATTTTAGTGATTAGAGTGCAAATAAAAGCGAGAGCTTCTGTATGAGGCACCTGCGCTCGCGAGCGCTACTTTTTTTATTAAATATAAAAAATTAAAACTAACTAATATACTAAAATAATTACACTGCTTACAATTATGAACAGTTTTTTCAACAAATGCTCGGTGAAAAGAAATGCTTAACATTCAGTAGACTATCAACCTCAGGAGGAGAACCTGAATATTATTACTGTATATTATTATTATTACTGAATATTATAAGTGTGTTGACTGAAAGTCAGAGTTTGTACCCTTGTGTTGTCGAAGGAGGATCTGCTGGTGATGTCATAGAGCAGGAGGAGCGCTGTGAGATCAGCAATAAAACAGCTATTGATTAGAAGAAAACCTCCGTATCCTACATCACACTGAGAGACAGTGAAGGGCAATGTTCCTCTCAGCTACAGGACAGACATTTGATTGAATTCTAGTAAATGCGAAATAATTGCAATGCTCAGGCAAACCGCTATAGAGCTGGTGAATGCGGTTTACAGGTTTCATAGAAAGAGTATGATGTGCGCCGAATTAGTCGCTGTAGAAATCGAATACTTTAAAGGTTGTGGACGAAACGGCTCAACAACGTCAACGCAATGATGTGAGAAAAAACGTCATCATGCTTTAAAGAAGAGTGGCTTGATTAATGACACAGGTGGAGTAAAGTGCAAACTCTACTACATGGGGATGTTTAGATAACTGTAAAATAATTCACACGTTCACGTTTTTTTATTTTCAATATGTATTGAAAATATTTGTTTTTTATATATTTATATGTATTTTATTTTATGCATAATAAATAATTGACCTCAAAAAGGGAATTCATGAGCAATAACTACTTAACAATAAAATGTGTGTGTGTGTGTGTGTGCGTGTGTCTGTGTGTGAGTGTGAGTGTGTGTGTGTGTGAGTG